AAGAAGTTGCAGCAGAGACGGATGCAAGTTTTAAAGTACAGTGTCTGTAAACCCTCATCAATACTGAAAAACAAAAATATTTGAAAAAAATTTTATTTTAAACACTAAAATTTTTTTCTTGAACATCCTTTCTATTGATAGAATTAGTAAATCTGTAGATAATTCTTAATTGAATGCTCGTTTAGTATATATATTAAGAATGCTGCATTTGATCGTATTAGCAATGATATTATTATATCTTTTTTTGTGATGAAAGAGTTTGCCACGGATAATTATAATAATATATTGATATATTATTTTAATTTTTTGTTTACAATTTTTTAAATTATTATAAGTAAACAATTTTAAAAAATTTTAAATTCGTCATTGAATTGCAAATACTAAAATTTTAAATTCAAATTTACGTGATTAACTAAATTAAATTTCAAGCTCTAATCAAGGGCCGGAACCAAGAGGGCAGGCAAAGGTCAAGACCTTTCAAAAAAATTTTTATACCATTCTAGATATGAACCTATCATAACAAATATGTGTCTCCCATTTTTTCATCCTCCTTTTAATTATTGTCTAGCTTCACCTCTGGTTGATCTTAACATTTTGTTAGAAAGGTAAATCCATGGGTAGATTTTCTTGTTTCCCCTTTTTAGTTGTAATTCTTATTATTGTGAAGCAAAGCATGAAGTTTTTCTCCTTTAATCACCTTAGAACAAGTAAAATCAAGATTCTATAAGAGGGGTCTACATATATGTAACTTTATTTATCATGTTGTTTACACTGATGCATAATAATTTGCTAATCAAGTGAATTAATCAGGTCATTTCCTCTTCACTTCTGAAGCCAGCCTCTTGTTCCTTTTTTTTTTTTTTGGATGCCTAACTCTGATTAAACTAACCTTAAGCATCATTCACTGCTTATTCTACAGCAGCAGCCAGCATTGCATCTTTCCATGTACAAAATGATATTGCTTTCCAAATTTTGCTGTCATATCATCTGTAGTTGCAGCTGCTGTACTTCAAATTCAGTTTGATGAATTAATAAATCATTTTGCAAGATCCTAACTCGATAGGTCAAGTCAATATTGATTGAAATTGTTGTTTTTAATTTTCTTTTCCCCCTTATTCACGATTAAAGGAAATTGTTATTTCAATCGTGTGACGTAAAACCTGATTTCCATGCTAGCAAACTTTTATTATTTTTTTAAATTTAAAACTGAAAAAAATTAAATTCTGATCAATAAATTAAAAATCTAACATGTCAGTACTTCATGTTTCCTTTTATAATCCCAAAACTAATAGCTGGTCGGAAATCCAAATTGAGAAGCCCAAAAAAGTTAAGTGTTAGCCCATAAGAAAGATGTATGTATATATTCTTTAATGGGCTTGATTGAGGGAACATTTAAGCAGATCACTTGCCATGCAGATCCAATTCCACTTCTGATTTAACCTTTCATACAAGCTCAAAGGAATCAAAGAAGAGAACCAAGAGAATCAAGGTTGTTCTTTTTAGTTGATAAGAATCGAAACGTCAAATCATTTGGTATAGCTACAATTATTGCCACATTTGGGTTCAACTTTAAATGGAAAATGGAATTTATCCATCAAATCAAACTTTCGAATTACCCTTTTTTGAAAAATCAAGATCAGAGATTTCCGCTTCTTTACCATGGACAACCTAACTATATGTTTTTGAAAAAAAGTCACAAATTTAATCAGATATTATATTTATATAATTAATGAAATAATTAATTATTACATTATAATCAAGTTAATATTATTAATAATTAATAAATTATAATATAATTAAACAATCAAAATTACACACAATAAAATTTTAGGCTCTTTTATTTTACAAAAAATAACTTTTCATAATCAATTTTTGCATTTGCAAGTATTTGTTTGACAAAAAATTAGTTGGTGAATGAAAAATAATTTTTTAATTAATGAAAAATAAATTTATTTTTTTGAAAATTATTATATAGATTTGAAAAAGGAAAAACATTTTAAAAAATTGTCTATAAGTAAAATTATTTATCAATATTTTTAGTATAATTTTACTTATAAATAATATTTTATTAATAAATAATATACTATTAATATAATATCTTAATAAATAATATTATATGCATAAACAATATTATAATATATTAATAAATAATATTACATTAATAAATAACAATATATTAAATACTTTTAATTTAATTAATAAATATTATAATAATATATTAATAATATTATAATATATTAATAAATAATATAAAGAATAATAAATAGTTTTGTTTTAAGTATTTTTATATTAACATAATATTTTAATATTAAATATTATTATTAAAATATAATTATTTTTTAATATAAATAATTTTAATAACAAATAATTTCACTATATTTTAATAATAAATAAATTTTAATATTTTAATAGTTATATTAATATCATTTTTAAAGAATAGATTTTTCAAAAAACAACCAAACAACAAAAAATATTTTTCATTAATTTATTTAAACAACAGAAAATTTCTTTCGATTCAAAAAAGATAAACATTTTTCAAAAACGATTTTTCATTGACAACCTAACTATATATATAGATATATATACAATTTAATGTCACAATCAATAAAGTTTGTTGGATTTGAAATTTAAATATTAATATTTATAATAATTTTTTAGATTAAAAACTATTAAATTATAATCAAATTAATATTATTAATAATCATTTAATAAATTATAATATAATTAAACAACCAAACTTAAAAAAAAAAAAAACAAAACGAATCGAAACGAAACGAAACAAAACAAAACAATGCAGCCGAATTCATTAAACACTCCCACGTTCCACACACACACTAGAAAGTAGAAATGGACCTTCCCATGAGGCTCGAGGCACGTTTTTGCCTTTCTTCTGATAGTCCAGAACGACCCTATATCTTCCCTCCCCTTCTTATCTTCATCGGAAGGAAAACAAAACTCAAAAGGTGGAAAACCTTATCGAGAAAAAGACAGGTCCCCCACTCCATGTTTGGATTTGGATAACTCGAACCTGAGCCAAAGACATTGCCCATTGTTGAAAGAGGAAAGACGGGCACATGGCCTCACTGATTAGCAAACTCTTGCCCTTTCTTTTCTTTTTCGAGTTTAGGTGCCTTCATTAGTGGCTTTTTTTTCAAAAGTTTTGCTATTATTCGCACTTTGCCACCCTTTATCACAGCATTTGGTCTACTCTGATACCCAAAATTAATCATTGCTCAAAATTCATAGTGAAAAGATTGCTTCCGAATTACCGCGGATGAACAACTATTGGCAAAAAGATTGCGACATAATTTCATTAAGATTGCAGATCTTTAATTAGAACCAAGGTTGATATAATTTCAGTACGGCCTCCTTGGTTTCCATGCTTGTCTTTTGCTTGAATCAGGGACTATTTGTTGAACAAAAGAAAAATAATTTGATTCATTATTCAAGAAAATAATTTGATCATAATATATACAAAAAGTGATGATTTAGACTAGGGATGTAATTCAGTCAATATATTATTAGGTTTAAGCTCAATTCAGCTTGATTCAAAAATTGAAAATTAGAAACTTGATTTTTTTTTTTAGCTAGATTGGGTTTTATCTTTTCATGTTCAAGCTTAATTTATAATTTAATTAAATTGTTTGAGTTCCATTTGATAAACTCGATAAAATTATAATTATTGACATTAAATATGATATGTTATTTATTTACTTATATATGCATATATTAAATATATTTATAAAATAATTTAATTAAACTCAATTAAACTAACGAACTTATTAAATTGTGTATTAAGTAACTCAAATTCAGTTTGATTTGTTATTTGAATTGTTAAAACTCGTTCAAACTCTAACATGACTTGATAACAAATAAATTGAGTTCAATTCGAATTCAAATAACATATGAATAATTTAATATGTTTGTATCCTTATTTTAAACAAAACTTATAAATACTTGATCAAATTAATTTTAACAAAAAACTAATGTAATAGTGAAATGAAACAAAGTTGTATTTTCTTTTCTATTTTGTTTTTTTCCCTTTATTTAACTCTGTCACTCTAGATGGATAAACATTTTCCATCACCGACATTCTGTGTTTTTCTGGTTCCTTATCCATGACTTTTTGTTTCCTTTATCGCTTATATATGCATTTAATGTAAGAAAAAAAAAAAAAACACAGAGTCACATTAATACTGGTTGCAAGAATCTGCCTTTATGTCTTGTATCTAAAATTTCAATAAAGGATTGCTTATGGATTGTTGGTTTGTTACCATTCTTAGAAGATTTAAGTATAGATTACAATTATTTCTCTCTTTAAACAATCTCAATTTGTGTGTAATAAAGATTATGGTGTTGTCCACAGACTCGATTCAATAACATGTAAATGTATCTCTTATTCGAGAAAATGAGGTTCTAATTTTTCTTTTTCTTTTTGACTCAAATAAATGAGACTTAATTCTCACAATCCAATCCTCTAAAAACCAATCATTTTTTTTTTTTTTTATCATTTTGATCTTCTACCTTTCGCAACTGCCTAGCCAGCAGCCAACAGAAAGTCACATGCCCAATTCCTCAACAAAACATTTCTCCAAATTAGTCAATACATCAGATTCTGCGCAATGCTCATTCCTTTTTTCCTCTTTCATCTTTGATCTCTCCATTAATAGGCCCCACAAAGCTTACCTCTCTCCACGTGTCAATCATTAATAGGGCGGTGTCCCATGTGCCGTCCATTACAATTTGACTACTACTACCACTTGCACACCGCCAGTCATCAAATATCGTAATCCGAACAAGGATGGGCCAAAGTCGGACCCAACCCGACCCAAATAATGAAAACCAGCAATTTACCCGGTCAAGCACTTCCTGCATTGGAATCATAACCTCCCAGTCATGTCTCTCCACGTGGCACATCCCATTGCCCAGTCATGTCTCTCCACGTGGCAAATCCCCATTGCCCAGTCATGTTTCTCAACGTGGCACATCCCCATTGGTTCAATCTCTGGAATCCGATGACACATTTTTAGTATAAAGAACCACGTTGGCTCTGCTGTTTTCTCATCAGTTAGCAGAGTGTAGTTAAGTAGTAACAAGTAACAACCAGCCCAGTTCCCAACCCCGAAAAAAGATGGCGAGAAAATCCCTCTCATTATCGGCAGTTCTCGCCTTTTCTTTTTCTTTACTCCTCTTTCCTCGTCCAATCATAGGCGGCGGCCACGACTACCGCGATGCTCTCCGGAAGAGCATTCTCTTTTTCGAAGGCCAACGATCAGGCAGACTTCCCCCTGACCAACGCGTCAAATGGCGACGCGACTCCGCATTGCACGACGGCTCCACTGCCGGCGTACCTACTCATTCCCGTCAACCTACATTTCCTCTTTCACCAAAATAGAAAGGCTAGATAAGTCATTGACGGACTTTGGTGTTTCTGTTTCAGGTGGACTTAACGGGAGGTTACTACGACGCTGGAGATAACGTGAAGTTCGGGTTCCCAATGGCATTTACGACGACTTTATTAGCTTGGAGTATCATAGATTTCGGAAGAAACATGGGGCCGGAGTTAAAGAACGCCGTTAAAGCCGTTAAGTGGTCGACGGATTATCTGTTGAAAGCAACGGCAAAGCCTGGAGTGGTGTACGTGCAAGTGGGAGATGCATACTCTGATCATAGCTGCTGGGAAAGGCCGGAGGATATGGACACGCTTCGTTCGGTGTACAAAATCGATAATGCGCATCCTGGCTCTGACGTGGCAGGTGAAACCGCCGCTGCATTGGCCGCTGCTTCAATTGTGTTTAGGTCACGTGATCCTGTTTACTCGAGCTTGCTCCTCAATCGAGCCGTCAGGGTACGTCACCGTCACCACTCACCACCTCAATTACATTTTTATTTCTAATTACATTTTTACTATAAATTTTAACTTTATAAGGATTCGGTAGTAAAAAGTATGTTTTTTAACCTCGTTACCGTCCTAAATGAGACAATAATTAGATTGTAGCTAAATATATTTTTTACTATACTAATATTGAAGTACAATTTAAGGTAAGAAAAGAATAACATATAGCTTTCCATAAAGGATTATATATATAGAATTAATTTATCGTGGTTTATGGGAAAAATGTCGCGAAAAAATGACCGTTGGGGGAAAATGGAATTGTGCCGTAGGTGTTCAACTATGCTGACAAGCACAGGGGTGCCTATAGCAGCAGCCTGCACCCTGCAGTTTGCCCTTTTTACTGCGACGTGAATGGCTATCAGGTCAGATAGATTTTCTTTCTTTATTACAATTAATATGAACCGTTGATTATGACATAAAAGTCTACAATTTTGACTGTATGATCATATGAATATTCATTGGTATTGAAATAAAATAAAAAAAATTAATATTTCCAGGATGAGCTACTTTGGGGTGCCGCTTGGTTGCACAGAGCCTCAAGAAAGCGCGTATATAGAGAGTATATAGTGAAAAACGAGGTCATCTTGAGGGCTGGAGATACCATCAATGAATTTGGTTGGGATAACAAGCATGCTGGAATTAACGTCCTGATTTCCAAGGTACAAAATTAAAAAAAGAAAAACACCCAATCCTTTTATTAATCCCTGGATTATATGTGTTTATGTATAATCATTATAATGATACGGATGTTTTTATGACATGCGTGTGTGCTTATCGGTAGTTTTATTTGTTTATTATTATTTGTCTAGTGCAGTGTTTTTTTTCTTCTTGTCCTGTGTTCTTTGTTGGGGTATGTAGGATTGTTTTCATGTAGGAAATTTTTTTCTCTGCTATTAGAAAATAGAAAGAAAATGTGTCTGTGTCACGTGGCTAGGGAATAACTTAGATCATGGTTTTCGGTGGATCTCACAATTTGTGGGGTCTTCCTTCATATTTTCGAACCCCATTTCTGATGCCTTTTTTAGACTTTCAGAGCAACTGAAAACAGTTTGCAAGGGCCAAGGTGTGAAGTCTTGGACTTATTGTCAAGTTCACGAGAAAAAGTTGGATTTTATTTCGTCTGATTTTAAACCAAAGGGAATTTACTTGTTAGATTGCCATACTTTCTAGGCTATTCCTAACTTTCTCATCTCTCTTTGTTTCTTGTCCTTTTCTTTTTTATATACTGCTATTCTAGTTTCTAACATGAAAAATAAGGGAACAAAAATGAAAAAGTGAAAACGTACCAGGATTTTATTTAGAAGGTCCCTTACTGTGGGTCTGTAAAAGTGACCGTACTACTTAGATAAGATGGGGGAATAGTTTAAAGTTCTAAATAAACTAATCATGTGACGGGTAAAGGGTCTATGATGATTGCACATGATGATGTATGTAAGTATAGAATTTGGCTTTCATGTGACCACAATTTTTGCTGTGACAACCTGGAGTTTGGACATTCAAAAATTTTAAAAATATGCTAAATATTTGTAGCCAAAGAGGCTAAAACTGTCTTTTGATATAGTGGATTTAGTGGTGTCTTGTCTCCTCAATCATAAACCAAAGTTTCTGCTGAACTGGAGGTGGCATCAAAGTCTAAGCGTCTCGTTAGAGATCTGGTTTTTCTCGTGGGTCCCCTATCAGTGAGTTGTTGTTACATGCATGTGCCTAAAGGCTGGGGCGATGGTTCCCTCCCGTGCTTACTCATTATCTTTCCACATTAACTTTTCTTGAAAGGTGATGACGACTCCTTTGTTAAGGACCTTTCTCTCTTAACAATATTCTGATATATATATATGTATGTATCGCTAACATGATTTCGTCAAATTCATGCATTTAATATGCTTTCTATTATTCTATATATGATCAACTCTATATCTATGTCTATGTGCATGAAGATTGAATTTCTGGGTTTTTGCACTAATATTCATCAGGCTATGAAGTATTATACATTGTAGCTGATATATATAACAAACGATACAAGTTGTTTAATATATTATTAATATATGTGAAATTTCTGGCGCAGGAAGTGCTGATGGGAAAAGCTGACTATTTCGAGTCTTTCAAGCAAAATGCTGATGGCTTTATTTGTTCTTTATTGCCTGGAATTTCTCATCCTCAAGTTCAATACTCTCCTGGTAAATGGTTTTCTATTTTTCTTTTATCCTTTTCATTGTGCACATTGAATATTGATAGTGAAGATAATAACAAATCACAGGATCTCTGTAGAAAAAAGTAAGTACCTTATTATAAATAGAAAAGCAAATGATTAAGTTTGTCACATGTGTTATAAGGCTGGGCCAGCTGTGTTTGCAAAAATAATCAGTTTGTATGTGCTTTTTTGTGGCTAAGCGATTGCTTGATCCTGGTGGCTTCTGCTAATTAAAAAACTTACCTCTTTCTCTCATCTCTCTCGTCTTGTCATGGAAATAAAAAAGGTGGGTTGATCTTCAAAGCTGGAGGGAGCAACATGCAGCACGTGACGTCATTGTCTTTCCTACTTCTAGCCTATTCTAATTATCTAAGCCACGCTAACAAGGTGGTGCCATGTGGTGAAAGATCAGCTTCCCCTGCCCTTCTCAAACTGTTGGCTAAACGCCAGGTAATATATAATTTATTCTTTTTCACATTCTTGTTTCTATTGAAAAATGTAGAGAAATGAAATAGAACACATCACCGTTAAATCAGGGGACCATATCCAAAATCAGACAATATCAACGGTTAGATTTTGTCTTTATGATGAATAAGTAACTATCTTTTATTAGGAGTTTTTGTTTTGCATGATCATCAAAAGACCTCACGTGATTTTAGGCATTTATATATATATATAGAACAAGGCCCACAAAATTAATATGTTTTGATATTTGTGGGAATTTTAGGTGGACTATATTCTGGGAGACAATCCTCTAGGGATGTCCTACATGGTTGGCTACGGTGCACGCTTTCCTCAGAGGATTCATCATAGGGGCAGCTCACTGCCATCGGTGGAGGCCCACCCGGCCCCCATCCGCTGCAAAGAGGGGTCTCGCTATTACCTAAGCCCAAACCCCAACCCCAATTTATTGGTGGGAGCAGTGGTTGGTGGACCCAATGTGTCTGATGCTTTTCCAGATTCACGGCCTTATTTTCAAGAGTCTGAGCCCACAACTTACATCAATGCTCCTCTTGTGGGCCTCCTCGCATTCTTTTCAGCCCACCCTTGATTTCCTCGAAATGTAAAGGATGATGATATTTCTAAGAGGTGTGCAAAATGGTCACCCTGCCCCATTATTGTGAAATGAAAAAGATTCCAGTGGTTACCAATTAACGAAGAAAGTTGCATTTGTACACTAAAAAGAGAGCATCCTTTTCTTTGTTGGACAAAGTTTTAAGATCATTGTCAAGTATGGTTAAGATATCCAAAAGAGTCTAATTATTAACTTCACTTGTTAGATTTATATAATTATTTTTAAGAGATGAACATTCAATAAATTTAAAGTTTTAAATTTCAGTATTTTCATTTTTTTTTCTATTCACAAGCTACGATCTTTTTCATTAAAAAAAATCTAACTAGGCCAATCACCCTGTCCTCCAAATAAACTGTATTAATGCTACAAGAATTATGATATCCAAGCTACATTGGATTTGTTTCTATGATGGGTTCAGCTCTCTGTTGCCCTTAGGATAAAACGTCTTCCTTTTTCTTCTAACCAAATACATTCCACATGATTGACTTTTTCATTAACTTTATCATGTACTTAGCAAGCCTCAGCCTCGGCCCAAGAAGTATCCCTGCTCTCATTGAGCCTCCAATTTAGGTGGCCATAGGCCCTAACCCATAAAGGCCAGATTCATCACCTTTATCAAAATTGACATTTTCTCTGCCGTGGAATATCAAAATTAACGTATGTTTTTATTCTTAAGTTGCTAATCCAACCCACCTCTGAAAGAGGCAACGTGTACTGCTCCAAATGGTAAAGAATTAATGGCATGCCTCATGGAAGAGGGGAAGTTAGAGCAACTGAACATTACTCTTGAGAAACATGAAAAATGTGTTCAACGGACCAATTCCGACTACGTATATACCACGTTTTTATATGTTTACATCTACGTTAAATGACCAAGAATGAACTAATGAAGGCCATTATTGCATTGGGCTTTCTTCTCTTTGGGTATATTTAAGTCATTCAACAATGTTATGATCCCGGATTTTGCTTATTTATTGAATTTTATTAACTTCAAAGTGTTATGCAATGTGGTCCAATGAAATTATTGATTTCTGCCTAATTTCATATCAGATTGGGACGTGACCACCAAAAGGAAAGAAAATCCTCCCACTGTTAGGAACTGACATGTACCATGGTGGGAATTTCTTTCTGGGCAAGGTTTTGTTGTTCGTTATACATAAACATGCATAGCCATGTTGACGACTAGGGTTTTGGTCTATGGCGGATGCTTGTGTTCTTTTAAGCTAGCTGGAAGGGTGATTACATATATATAACTACGTATATTACAAACCTCGATAATTTTGTTAATGAGGAGGCCTATATAATTCTTCCATTAGCTTGGTCCTCTTTTTATGTTTATTTGGATTAATTACAAAAATCAACAATTTCTTCAATGAGATTGACCGACTTGTTTTCAGATTGAAGAAGGATAACATTTTTCATATTTTGCGTGAAGGGGACATTTTAATTTGCAGATTCTTTAGACAAATTGCGTGAATCTTGGACAAAGGAAATAGTTGCTTGTTTTGCTGATTTATACTCTATTGCTTTATGCTTTTTTCTAGCTTTTACTCTTGTAACAGGCCGGATTTTTCACTTCCTACCTCTCTGTCATGTTTCCTTTTTTTTTTGGTTTTTCAATTTGGTACATGTTTCCTTTACTTCTTCAATTATGAATATTAGTATCATTACTTGTTAAAAAAATGACAAGGATTTTTGGCCAATATTAAAAGCTGCCATTCACTGTGTGGAAAAGTTTAAGAGTTAGCTTTTTGACATTACGAAGGATCTAAAGGCAACTTGTTTGAATTCAGAGTTTCAATGTTTTTTTTTTTAAAAAAAAAATCCAAAATTGATAGCAAATATAATACTAAATAATATATAAATTGAAATTAAAACTTTCTAGAGCAAAACTAAATAAGATATAAATCAAAATGTTAAATTAGACCTAAAAATTAAGGCTTGCTTTTTACGATCTATGAACATATGATTTTATACTAAAAGGTCAGGCCCCTTATATCAAATCAATTTGTGCAGACAAAAATACAAGTTCATTACAGCTACCTTCAGTGTTCTAATATGTATTGCTTTAGTATCCACTTTTAAATAGACGAAAGACTTTGGTGTCTAATCTTTGTCTTTTTTTTTTTTTTTTTGGGCCCAATTTAATCTTCATAGACAAGATTTTTTTTTGGCCAATTCATCGACAAGATTAGATCAGTACTAGTCCACATCTTTAATAATTGAGTGTCGCCAGTTTGGCAATTAACACTATTATATATATTCCATGTGAAAGCATAAGTGAACTTCTCTAGTAATGGTACTCAGGAGATACCCATATGATAGCTTGGATTAGATATGTTTCTATTTACCTATTTCTACCATGGAAAAGATTTAGATAAAGGTTTTTTCGTGAAATTCATGAAATTTTTTATTAAAAATGATTACATAAAAATTAAAATTAAAATTAAAAATGATAAATTAAAAAATTTTATTACATAAATTAACTGTAAAATTTTGAAAAAAATTTAACAAATTTTGATATAAATTTTTAAATAAATATTTTTAATAAAAATATTGACAGAAATTTTATCGTAAAATAAATATTAATCAAATTTGAGTTATAAATAATATTTTTAATAACTTTTTTTTACATAGTATTGATTTTCACACCAAACTTTATTAATCTATTATTTTAATTTTTTTAATAAAATTTTTATTAAATCTTTTTTTTTTTTTAAACTTCATTAACTTTACATAAAAAAACTTAATGTAAGTGTTGTCCTTCCTGCCATACTAGTGAAAATTAATGAAGAAATATTCTTATTCCTTTCACTCCTATGTTGGGACAAGAATCAAGTATAATAATTACTAATATATATATATATATATATATGAATTAATATCATTAAAATGATTTTATCTTACATCTATTAAATTTTAAGTTGTTTAGTATGATCTTAAATTTAAGTTGGACACATGCATTCACCTATTACTAGTAAATTTTTAGTTAAATACTTAACTCAAGTTTTGTTTTGTGAGATTATTTTGAGTATGTGATAGTTATATATACATATAATGGTGACCTATTGATATAGGTGTTTAGTATTCTATGCTTTATATTAAAATTGAATGCTTAATGAACAACCACAGTTAGTGTTACATTTGTAAATAGAGACTAGTAGAGATTTCACAGTAATCAACAAAATAAACATCAGTGATTGCCAACTTTCGAACTAGTTGATCACTAAATCCTAGTGTATCTTATCAGCAAATCTCTTACATAGTGCTCCTTTTTCTATATTTTTACAAAAGGAATGTCTTTTGTATAGTAAGACAAAATAAATACATGTTAGCAGCTAGTAACTTTGATCTTTCATTCATAAATATGACAACAAAAGGAACAAACTTGGATCTTAATTTATCGATACCAAAAAGGAAAAAATATATAGCAAGATCAGTCCATGAACGTTGAAGCCGCAATGGATTAAAGATTGAATTATATGAAGTCCCAATTCAAGGAAACAATAAAAATTTCCCAACACTATAGGTCACAATAATTGCAGTTCATTGGGACACATCTCACATGGCACGGAAGTAACATACTTTTTCTAGGCTGGAGTGGATAACACCGAGGATTCTAAGTAAAGTTAAGAAACACAACCCGGTGGAGATTATGATACCATAACCAAGAAAAAGGTCGGCAGAATGAATTAAAGTTTCTGTGGCTTTACCTCACATAAGTGAGATGGTGGGTGGCGTGTCCTTTGATAAGTTGCAATTGCTATCGGCCGTCGTTGCTTGTTGCATCCTCCAAAGTCCAATCAGAACAGAAATTGTTTGCAAGTTGAAAGCTTGTTGGGTCCTGCTTGTGTATAAAATATCGTATCTCCCTCCTTCACATGTGTTGATAATATATATATATATATATATATATATAACTTACACAATGTAAAATTAAAAATAATTTATATATATTTTTAATTATTTATTTTAATAGATTTAAGGGATGTGATTAAATTTTTTTTCTTAATTTTATTTGTTTCTTTTATATCTTAAATCAATTGAAACCAATAATTAAAAAATTGTGTAAATATTTTTTAGTTTTACACTATATAAGTTGATCACCCTTTTATATATATTGAGGCTATAAAAAATTTAATTTTTATCACTGAAACTAAAAATTCAATGTTCTATCAATAAATTACTAAGAGTGTTGATAATGTGATGATATTCCACTTAAACAGTGCAATGTTTGGTAGGAAAAATTGAAATAAATTTTCTTTTTTGGTAACTAATAAGTAAAATAAAAAAAAAAAGAGAAAAAAAGTTAGGATCAAGGAAATATGAATTTAGATTGAATGAATTTTTTATAAAAAAATAAATTAATGATTTCACTTATTTTTGAGAGGATTAGTTTCGAAGGAAAAAAAAAAACACAAATCCATTTTTTATAAAAAAATAAAAGAGTCAAGTTACTCGTAAACAATTTAAATTTATTTTACAAATACTCGAGTTTAAATAAATATATTCATGGATTGAGTTAAGCTCGATTAGCATTTTTCTATTCCCTACTCAAATCATGGCCCGACTCAATTTAACAAGCCTTAAAAATTCAACAATATTAAAATATTAAAAATATTAATATTGAATATATTTTTAAATTAAAATTAAATAAAATCAAATTTTATTAGTTAAATAATATATCGAGCCAATTGAGCAAAAAATTTTGTTAGTCTAATGAGAGCGAATGAGTAATCCGACTTTTAGATAAACCTAAGTTCAAGCTATTTGAAAAAAAATTAAATTGAGTTTGAGCTTTGTAATATTTTACTCTAATATCTCTCCAATTATATCAAGCTTATGAATTTCTTTAATAATATGTAATATTTTATGTAAATAAAAATATTTTTTATTTATATTTTTAAAAATTTTATTTAAATAAATTTTAATTCTGAACTTAACTCAAGTTTTGAACTGCTTATTTCAGTTGATGATAATTAACCCGATGGAGGCGAATTTAAGTGATTCGATTACCTTTTGCGTCGGGCTTGAGCACCAAAAAATCCAAAAAAAAAAGGAACGATGCTTAAGTCCGTATCCACTCAGTATTCAACTGAACTTGTTTACATTTGTACTTTTACTTTTTTTCTTTTATTTTTTCTTACCAAAATAAAAAATCGGATATAAAAAGAAAAAAATTATTTTTCTTGGACTACGTACCTTTCCTTTTTGTTCGTCTTTCCCTCCTACCAATACATTAGCAAACGTGAGATTTACTTTCCTTTCTCACTATATATATAGCAACTAGTTCTGGCTAGACAACGCTTTCTTTTCTGTTTCTAATCCCTATTTGTTGGCTTTCCCTCAAGCACAATAGCAGGGTAAGGTTTTCCCATTTTAGTTTTTTTTTGTAAACACAGGCACACAAACGCTCACTCACGAACTGATTTTATGCTTGTTTATACTTTTGACATGATTAATTCTTGTGTAAAATTTTTTAAAAAATGAAATAAAAAATAAAAATTGATTGCTACAAGTTTACCAGACCTCAGGAACAGTTGCTGCTGCTACTGCTAGCTTGAGGGTGTACGACAATGGCAAACTCCAAATACAGCGGAGAATCCCCTTGGTCCTCGTCACTTTTCGACTGCTTCTCTGATTGTTCACTCTGTACGTAATATTCTTTCATCCTTTTCTCTTCCAAACAAATTACAATACTTCTTGTTTGATGGGATTTAAACCCTCCATTTTTCTATACCATTAACAGGCTGCCAAACAACCTTCTGCCCTTGTATTAGTTTTGGCAGGAGTGCAGAGATTATAACGAAAGGATCATGTTGTAAGTATATATATCTATATATATTTCTCAAGTTTGATTTTTGGTATTCGTACTTAATTTGTTTTGAGTTTTTGGTAGTGATATTTAATTTGTTTTGCAGCTTGTGGTACATACTGTCTTCTTTATGCAGTAATACATCATTTAAGTGGTTGTCTTCTCTCGATGTTGTATGGATGCCACTATCGTAGAAAACTCAGGCATGAATACGGGTTGGAATCATCCCCTTGTCCTGATCTCTGTGTTCACTGTTTCTGTCACTACTGCGCCTTATGTCAGGAGTATCGCGAGCTCAGAAACCAAGGATTCAACATGAAACTTGGTATAAATAAATTAATTCATGCATTAAAACTCTGTTTAATTGATGTTTTTGTTATTTATCTTGATTTCATATATATAATCCGAATTCTTTAATTAATCTGATTTTTTTTTTCATTCAACGAAAGGATGGAATGGAAATGTGGAGAGACAAAACCGTGGCGTAACAATGGCCCCAGTGGCGGAAGCAGGGATGAAACGGTGACTTCAACGTTGGCTGTTGTTAGCCAATTTCTTGTGTTTTGGTTGTTCCCATTTCCCAAGTGTTGTTTTCGAATCAGGGAGATGTTAATTTGCATGGTTTATTCTGGTTTTTTTCCCCTGTATTTGTATGTTTGTCATTCTCGATCTGTCTTTATATGTGGCTTTTCACTCTAAGGATGAATAAAATTTGTGATGCATTTGTGGCTTTGGCTGGTTAATCATGACTTCTTCATGGAAAAAATTTGCTTATAATTCCAGTTTATTTGATTTATAGTGATTACATTGTTAAAGACACAATTTTGTTTTAATTTTTTTATCAAAGTCAAATTATTTCATTATTTTAACAACCCTTTATGCAATTGTAGTTACATGTGTCAACACATTATAGTTTTTACTTGAGTCCTGACGTGATCAGTGATGGATTTGAAGGACGGTGACACTAGGAAATGAATTTCATATATCCTACTTATCAGTTAATGGGCAGTTCATTCCATGTAATTTAAAGCAGTACATTAGGGTTTCCATTTTGCCATTTAATTTTCATTGATGAGGATAAAGGAATTAATAAACAAAAAAAAAAACAAAGGATAATTGAGGAGAATCCGAACCCACTTAATTTCCATATTCTTTCAGGCACTCAATTATTTTATAGAATTGAATAGGGACGGTTTATACGTTGATTAAACAAAGAATAAATGCTGGACTCCATTATGCTTCCAGATAATTTTAGTCACTTTCACTTTCTTAAATCTTGAGAATAAGATGTACAAAGAATTTGTTTATTTTCAAAGTGATAATTCGAGAACAAGATAAAGGCCAAGAAAAAGAAAAAGAATATGTGAAATGTTTCCAAGTATAAAGCGAATTCCACCGCAAACGTCCCAAATCTACGTGTGAATATAAAGGGCACCACTTGGCCAACACCTGCACATATCAGCACTACGTAATCTTATGGCACTTTATGGCTGAATTTCTTTCGTGTGTAGATACAATGATGGAGAAAAAAGGATGGTTTACTCATAGAACGACATGGCCAACAATTAACGATAGATTCTTAATTTTAATATTCAAAGTTTAATTTTTAACAATTTTAAATATATAAAAAAAGAACGGTGTTTATGTGTTTTTGTTTTTGCTGCACCAAATTATAAAAGAAGATATTTCTTTTTCAAAGAACAACTACTATGTTTATATATAAATATATATGTGATGTTGGAATATATGATAAAAAGATAATCTTTCACGTTTATAGGTTTAGAAAAATAAAATAATATGATAATTTTATTTGAGAGATCATTAACCATTAGCCTGCACTCGTATCCCTTCATTCTAATCAAACTCACCATCGTTATTTTTTTCACCACCTTCCTGCCCTTCGCTCCAAACAAATCTACCACCGTCTAAGGCTACAATGGAAACTGAACCACATGAGCTTGTTTTTAATTTCCCTTCAGCAAATGAATTGGATTAACAGTTAACCCTTTAATTATAGTCATATATTTAATTTGATACTAATAATTTTAAAAATATATAATTAGGTATTCAAACTTTATTTTAATTAAATGAAATGCACATTGCATTAACTTCATTATTAAAAATATGATGTGTTTTAAATGAGGAATATTTCACTTATAATTTTTTAATATAAATTTATAGTTAATCAATTATAATAAAAAATTATGTAATAATTTATCGTTTAAAAATATATATTTAACATAATTTTTTTATAAAATTAATTATATTATAATAATTATAAAAGTATACGTTCTCTTTTAAATAATCAATAAATGTCCATATAATACCACATCAGTGTGCTAAGTCAGAATTAGTGGATTCCACTGCCATGAAAATTTCCCCACTTTAACCCATGATGTGGCAGTGAATCCCACGTGACATTTTATGTACATGTGGTATGTTTTTATTGGATATACAGAACACCACGGACTATAACCGAAAAGAGTTGGTGGACTATGTAATTTAATTAAGAAAAGCAAAGTTAAGAGTACTAATTGCATATTCTTAAACTTGGACAGGAAATCATGCATTTGATTATAGTTTGGGTACTAAGTACACAATTAATCCAAAAATTTTACATAAATTATAAAGAAAAGAAATAAGTAGAAGTAATTTTGAGTTCTCCTATGGTAAAATTCTAATAGATAATGGTCATGTTTTTGTTCTTGCTCTATCATTTGTCTGCAAAGGAGGTACAAAGGCATGTGAAAAAGAGTGGCTGTATGCACATAAAACGCCAATGGCGAGCACATCGCAAGATGACCCCATCCATACTGCAAGGAAACATATAACCCACCCCGGAGTTTCATTCGGGTTCTCAACCTTTCATAAAGAACTAACTTGGCTTCTTTGGATATATCAATTTCCAGTAAATATTTCCAATCAAAGGTCTCGTTATTAGAGTAATGAGGCTAAAATACCAGGATTGGTGACTCGAGATTCTTAAATATCTTCAGATCGTGCAAAGGTTTAGTCGGTAATTTGGCATATACAAGTCTTGACATAACTGACATTTTTCCCGCATGGTGTTGATGTCAGCTTTCCCTGTTTTGTTTCTCTCTCGTCTGGGAATATTTTTCTTGCCGAAACATATATGGATATCAATTTGAAGTTTGTGTTTTCTGTGCTGTTCTGCTTAAAGAAGCAGCTGGCTTTTGTGCCTATGCCTTTCTTGTTTGATATAAAGCTCATAATTTATGAGCAAAAAGTATCAGACAATGAAAAGGTTATATCAACAGCTTCAAGTATCCTTGGAAGAGTGCTAAAATCTTAGTTTGAAGGACCATGGTTCAAATTCTGAGAGTTTCAAGTATTAAAAAAAAATGGTATATGCGAAGTAAAAATATGGACAAACTCTGGCCTAGGCTGTAGGTGCTGAAAGCCAAACATACAACCTAGAAGATCATATTTAATCCGTAATGACATGGTAAATATTTTTCCGATCTTCAAAGCCAAGAAGTATAATTTGGAGTAACTTTCCGTTTGGGTTGTGCTGCTATGAAGTTAATAGTGAAAGATGAATTAAGAAGCTATTCCTCTTAAAGAGACGAGATGGATACATAAGACAAGAAGTAACTTAATTTAACTTAATTTGTTGGTTTTAGCTTTTAAGATTTTGATAGGATCTGTCATGTCATGTCAGAGATTGAAGGCAATGTTTTATTCCATGTCATGATCATGTCAAAATGTAAATATACATGCAACCTTGATCACAAATTAGCTGATTTATTATGGGCATAATATTTTTACAATTTACAAATTCATTGGAAAATATAAAGGAATGGATAAGTAGGATAATGGAAGCATACCTCTCTATAAATATCCTACCATCGTATCTGGCAAAGACAGTTACCGTCCCCTGAAGCTTTGCACTGAAGCTTTTCTTGCTGCAAAGATTCAACAATGGCCAGCCTTCCAGTGAACTCAATCAACTCCAATCCCGGCAAAGCAATTCCCTGGTCCACCGGACTCTGTGACTGCTTCTCCGATTGCTTCCTCTTGTAATTACCCTTTCTGTCTTTTCTCTTCCAAATTAAACATCATTATTATATTCTTCTTACAGGGCATACTCAGGAATCATGGGAAATATATATTTAATTTAGTTTTAAATCCTTCATACTCTTTAACTTTTACAGGCTGCAAGACATGTATTTGCCCATGTATTATTTTTGGCGAGAACTCATAGATTATAGACCAAGGATCATCCTGTAAGTATATACATACGCATACATGCACACGTATATATTGTTTACTTGATTCTTTAACTCTCTCGCTTTACATTATTTTTACAAGGGGTTTATTTGAATTTTGATGTTGGTACTGATAAATTTATGTTGCAGCTTGTGCTGTAAATGTTGTTCTCTATGTGGTTGTACATCATTTTGCTGTTTGTGGTCTTTCGTTGTTTTTCGCATGCTACTATCGTAAAAAATTCAGGCACCAATACGGGTTGCAAGCAAGTCCCTGTCCTGATATCTGTGTTCACTGCTTCTGCCACTATTGTGCCTTGTGTCAAGAGCAGCACGAGCTCAGAAACCAGGGATTCGACATGACAATCGGTACGAGAAGAAATTAAGAGAAAAAAAAAAACTTAACTAAAAGGAAAAGCTTTCTCATTCTCTAATTAATTTCAAATAGATGTCTCCAAATCTTCATTGTTGTTTCTTGGTTTTCATAAAATTAACTGATAATTTTGTTGCCTGCTAGGATGGCAAGCAAACGTACAGAGACAAAAACGGCGGGGTAATGATGACTCCAGTGGCAGAAGGGATGCAACGATGAGGATATTTCCATTTTCAAATATTTGGTGCTAGATATGGTATGCTTGTGGAGAACCATGTCTTGCTGCCTCTCATCTTTGAGGATATGAAATTCTAGTGCTGCTGATTCTTCTTGTTTGGTTTGCTATTGAATCTGTGTCTTTTTTGTTATGTGTTTCTCATTTTTAGGACGAAATACAAAGTGCTGGGCTGGCCCCACCTGAAATGTAAAATCTAGTGGCTTTATTAATTACTAGTACATCTGATTTTTTTTGGCAAATGATAAGCAAATATTATTGATCATTGTATTCTACCTGCAAGATATATACATTACGTCCCGAGCCAGGGCTTGAATCCAATTTATTAATCACAACGTTAATATTATGAATAACTTTTGAATTATAATATAATATTTAATGTGATATTTAAATTTAAATTTTTTTTAATATAATATATAAATTATAAATTTATTAATTAATATAACATTCATTTTTAACATAATTAATTTCACAAAATAACAACAAATAAATAATTTTTTTAATATCACATTAATTAATAAATTTTTAATTTAAATATTATACTAAATATTTTTAAAATTTAATTGCCACATCAAAAATTTCATTATAATTTAAAAGTCTTTCGTGACATTAACCCTTCATCACTTAACAGGTTTAAGGCTTGTTAATGGGTTTTTTTTTTTTTTTTTTATTTGGTAATCGGATTATAAACAAGTCAAGGGAACGTTCACGATCAATAAATTCAAGGGATTACGAGCAATTTATTCAATATGCGGCCATTTCCTTTCTGACACATAAAGCTATGCCTCTTCCCCAGACAAGTCCACAACAGAGACTATCCCTCAACTTCCTATCCTCTCTAATCAATTATCATCACTTATCTGCCATTCTTTTCCTGGTGGATCACTCACTGCTAATTAACTGACAGAGCCAAAACTCCGGCACCATCCAAATGGTCAGATCCACACTACAATCCTTGATTGTCTTAGTTTAAGCAAAATAGGATTTGCCTTCGCGTTTTAGCAATTTCATACTGATCTTCAGAGTTTCTCAAGTCAGAGTAAGCATGTAAAAATATCTTAAAATAACTGAAACAAATTGATATAAAGTGTCACTCCTTTGAACCTGAACAATGCCCTGAGGATACTATTTTGCATGGCAATTGTGGACTGCTTTTATAGAATGCCAAACCTCAGAGCTAAAAAAGAACTCCCCTGTTTAGAATTCATAACAGGATGTACTATTCAAAGATTTCAGAAACATATTGTCACTGATTACAGGACAAAGAACTATTTCTGGATTGAATTCTGCAATTAATTACCGTATAGCCACCGGCCATAGAATAAGAACCTGCATGTAAAATACTATAAAAAGTAAATCCTATTATCCTGGACTTAAAAACAGTAAAAGAAGGTGTCTAAAAGAGGAATATTTTTGCGGGTAAAAATTGGCTATGTGCAGAGCCATGTTAAATATAAATACTCAACTCCATATGCAACATAGAAATTCAATATCCAGAACAAACCAAAGTTTAGATAAATTTCTGTACCAAAAGAATAGATAACTTTGTAGGAAGTTGTTCTTGGTTCAGAAGCAAGCAACCAATTGAATAGCTAAATTTTAACATGTTACATGTGCAGCTAACTCAGACTATTTAGGGTTCTTCTACAAAGGCCTCCTAAAACTAAAAAACAGGTTGAAAACTTTTATATATTAAAACCATAACTGCAGATAGATACACAATAAATCTAGCATGAAAAGTTGGAAATCCATTACCTTGTATGTGTATTTCTACTGAGGAATTAATGGGTCACATTTCACGAGAAGGTAACACCTAGACATGACTTCTGGGATCAACAACCTGGTGCACCTTCCTGGATTCAGCACTTGAATACTCTCCCACTACACGAGCATGAGGAACTGATGCCTCACCACGGGCAAGAGCATCCACATTCTCAAGGAAGTACTTCCTCGGAAGCCTGCCTACAACATTGCCCTCCTCATTCCCATCTTTGTCCAGGAATGCAAAATGCGGGATACCCTCGACACCAAATTCATCAAGTTCCTGTTCCCACTTTGTGTTGTCAACATTCAACATAACAAAATTCACACGATCCCTGAATCAAAGGTGGTGAATGGGTGTTAACAAGTTTAAGTAATTTATGAAACAAGAAGAAAACATCCACGTGGATTAGGAATGCCTTAAATTCATCAATCAACAGCTCAAAGTAACATCTCATCAATATGTCTCAAAAACCAGAAAACAAATTTATTCATAAACAAATACACCCTTTAAAGGAGAACATATATATCCATTACAATCAAGCCTAATGGCTTGGGGCTAAAAATACATTTCTCTTCCAAAAAAAAAGAGAGAGGAAGGATTGAGAGAGGTAAATGACTAGTAACAACGTGAAGTCATTACCTGTATTGCTGCTCTATTTTAAAAACATCTGGAGCTAATTCCCGGCATACTTCACACCAATCTGCATAGAACTCTACAACAGTTGGCTTTCCATTTGAAAGAGCCTTTAGAACCATACAAAAAAGGCAAGTGTTAGATATTGCAATCCGATATTCCAGCAAATCTTTGTCAACTTAGACTAGTATCTTAACGGACTGGAAGGTTCTAAACTTTATCACAATACCAAAACACAGTAAAACCGTAGTGTTTAACTATAATAAAAATTTAACAAATTAATCCTGGCCTCTCTAAAAAAATGTCATATAGAAAGGAAGCTCACCCTCTAATTAGAAGGAACCTACACTGCTATCAGAAAGAATGAGAATTATGTCGACTTTCTTTTTCTTGATGAATTTTATAATTTACAATCACCAGCAAATATTGCATCCTATAAAATAATTCAATGAAACAAATCGAACAAAACAAATGAGCATGTAGCTGGACAAAGTCCAATGTAAAGTTGGACCAAACCCCTACATTGGGACTTAAACCTGGGACCTAGAGGTTCCAGAGCCTCTTCCTTGCCATTGAGACAAGGCTTCACTGGTAATGTAAACTTAGTGTTAGATATATGGAAATCGCCACTTTAACCTAGCCCATCAAAAATGGATTTACCTGAGACCCAGATCCTAAAAATATGCTATATCAATTGAGTAGAAAAGTTAAGAAAATCAAACCTCTTCATAAGGCACTGCTGTAGCAGATAAGTCCTTTAAAGAAACACCAAAATCTAATCGTGACGACAAGAAAAGTCCCACTGCTGCAAGGGTAGAACCTACTGCTATTCGCCTATTTATATTTTTGTTTGGAAATTCAGAAAATCCACCTCCAACAGACGAAGTTGCAGCTTGGCTAGCGCCATCTTTGACTATATCAGGCTCTGAAAGTACCTTTTCCTGCTCCAAGAAGGAGATAATTAGGCATACCAAAAGTTTAATTGGGAGGAAAAATGGAATAATGCCTTTGCTACAGCCAAAGCATGATATTAATAACTGAGGAAATGTAATGTGTTAAGTTAGAAGACTAGCGACTTCAAGATCTATGTTGGGCCTGCTGCATATAGTTCTAGCACTGAAGTGTACTCTACACAGAAGTATACATCATATCAAACAATCCAAAAGCATAATACGAATAGAAAACATGATCTCCTATGTGCAAAACTCACTTGGACTTTGCAGATGAGCTCAATTAGATTTCTCACACTTTTGAAGTAGAAGATTGCCCAAATATAACACCAAAAGAAGAGGAACAGATAGATCTTTTGCTACCAACAATCTTCAACATAAATATAAATCTATCGATACCTTCATAACCCCATCTATATTCAAATCAATTAGCCATTTCAACCATCAGCGCCCTTAGTAGTGAACACTTTTGTAACTTTTACATAATTTTTTTTCTTGCATTTAAAATAATAAGTTTGCTGGCAAGTGCTCTAAGGGAATTACTTAAAGTTACTATTAAAGGAAACATCTTCATTCAATGCTTTGGGAATTATGGGATTAACCATCAATTATTTCAATTGGTATGAAAATATTTCCATACATAGTACCTTAACTAGTGCTTTTTATCCTTGAGTTACTTATCATAATCCTATACAAACACATACAATATAGGTAGCAATTAGTCCACAAATTATAATAATCAAGAGATTATCTTTTTCTACAACTCGAATCCCTATTTCTGTCTTGCTTATTGTAATTGACAGATACCAATTTAACCACTGCTAAAATTAACAGCAACCCTTATACAAATGAAGATAGCAGGAAAATAGTTAAGCAGAAAGAAGGGGAAAATTAAAAGCAGAGACATAATGAGGGAAAGTTACCTTGTTGCAGTGTTCTGTTTCAGTGGGTGTTGGATTTGTTTGACAAGCAACGGCTTGGAACTTGCGAATTCTATTCTGAGAAAGTAAAGGAGATTTGAAGAGATGGGTGGAGTCTAAAACATGAAAGTAAGGCCGGACTCTAGGAAGAGTAAGAGGATTTAAGGCCATGCGAGCCATGGGAGATATTTCCAGTTCACAATCTTTGCTTCTGGCTTTGGTTTGGCAGTTTAAAAGAGTTGAGAAACTTGACCGATCCTACCATCCCATTATTTGCTCCTGGTGAAGCCACGTATTTCAAGTCCTTGTGTCTGACTCTGACCTTTGAGTTGGCTACCCCTTTCTTCCAAGTAAAAGCTACAATGAAATGACAAATTTTTGAAGTATGATTTTGGGAACCCAATATGTGTATCAATTAATTTATCTTAGGTTTGCTAACCAGTGCTTTAAGCTTTTTTTTTTATAAAGTTATTTATATGAACTAATAATCAATTATATTGCTTTGATAAATATTAAAAAAAAACAAAAATACTGTTATTTCAAAATGTAAAATAAAAAAAAAAATTGTAACTTGTGTATAGTTTTGAAATGAAGAAAAAATAACTAGAATTGCAAGTTTAAAAGAAGTGGATTTAAGTCAAATTTTCAACGAAAGTGAAAGATTAAATATTATATTTACATCGGATAGTTTTGTTTGTCAATTTTTCAATTAAATTGTCACTAACTTCCGACGCTAACTCAGGTAGAATTTTTTCAAAATATAATAAGATGTTTTATAATTAATATTAAATAGAATAATTGACGATTGATGTGATAAATTTTATTGTATTACAAAAAAAATATTATTTAATATGTGAATTTTAAAGTGTATATAAAATTTGTGTTCGCAAAGCTTAAATATTTTATTTTTATAAAATTAATGTTTTAAAATTTTAATACGTGAAAATATTTAAAAAAAAAAAGATGAAACATAATTAGGCTAATTTTCTTTTTTTTTTTTTTTTAATAACGGAAAGGAATCACGAACAGAAAAATGGTGATACTCCTTCCATTATAAATTATCTATATCCACATTTCCTTAATCCTCTATGAAAACTATGTTGTAATTGAAAAAAATAAAAAATTTAGATTAATTAATTTATATAATTATTTTTAAAAAATAACATTAATTATATTTAAATTTTAAATTTTTTATCATAATAGAACATATTTCGTGAAAAAAAAATTATACAAGTCAATCAAATGTCAGACCCATGCATTGTCTAAGCCACTCCAGTTCCGGACCATGGACAGTTCACAGTTCTAACGACGCCTTCCTGCTAAGTGGATTTCCAGCTCCATACAAATTTTACATGAGTGGTGCTATTTGTACCTTTTTTTTTAATTCAATAATTATTAATATCTAATTTTTTTATTTAATATACTTCAAATTTAAAATACAAATTTATTAAAAACTCACATTTTGAAAATTTGAAAAATTTAAGTTTCAGTCTAATCAAATTTAAAGAAAATTTTACTCATCTAAAGTTAAAAAAGTATAAATTAAAGACAAATAATTTTTTTATTTTTTATTTTATTTTGTAAGATTTTATATTAAAATATTTTAACACAATTCGAAACTTTCATAAATAAGTTTTTGAAAAATTTTAAAGATTTTCCGAAATGAATATTTGAAAAATTTTAACACTTACGAAAATTTAAAATTTTTAGAAATAAATATTCAAAAACCTTTTAAAACTTTTAAAAATTTATTTTCAAAAATTTTTAAATATTTTCAGATATTATTTGTAAAAACCTTTTAAAAATTTTTGAAAATAAAATATTCCAATAAAGTATAAAAGATAAAAAATTAATTAATTAATAAATATTTAAATAATTTCATTAAAAATTGAATTTTTGGGATTTATTAAAAAAAAGTTGAGGTGCATAGCAGCACCTATTTTATATTAAAAAACAAAAATAAATTTATATGCAAAACAAATTTACCGTCCATGTGGCACGATAAGGATTGGTGGCCCTAACCGAAGTTGAAACATCCAGGAAAATGCGAGGAATTCAATAGAAATATATAAAATCCCAATTGAATGAGCTTCGAACTTCTCTATATCAAAATTAATTAAAATCATAGCCCCTCAAAATTCGGTGCTGCGTGCTCTGTATTTAATCGAGAGATATAAGAATGACGTTTAATCTCGATTTTCACTTTCATTCAATATTCACGAAGAACTAACATTAAATAATTTTAATGTTCGAAGAGATTAACTTGACAGAAACCAATACATTCACTTATTTATTAATATAAACTTCAACCTAGTACAACTTTTTTTTTCATTTTTATAATCACAATCATACATAATTTTCAAATTAAAACTACAAGCATCCAAATGGAAACAAAAATAAATTAAGATTAAAAAAAAAAGAAAAAAAGTAAAGAGCATGTAATAAGCACACACACATATATAATATATCCATCATCTATCTGCTCATCCCTTTCTCCACCACTGGAGCCATAGCCAATCCTCTATTCCTCTCCACGTTAGCATGCCAACCTACATATATCCCCACAAAATGAATTAAACATGAAAGCAATCAATGAAATTACGTGAAATTTCATTTTTATAAGCAATCAAAAGCTTTAGAGTAATTTATATAAATATTATAAAATATATCTATTTTTGCAGCATAAATAGTGCTATGTGCAATTATAAGTTTCCACAGCAAAAATATATACAAAATTGTTGCTGTTTTTTTACAACACTGCTATTTGCAGCAACATACAACAATTTAATAAATATTTTTGTAAAATGGGAATTTGCTACAAGTCGTGGCATTATACAAAATTTTTGTTGCTAATCATCAAATGTTTTTGTAGAAATTCATAAGCTAACTAACTACTCAAATATTTAAAGTTGAAGAAAGTATCAATATTATAGGATATGCAGTTGATAATTAGGAGGGTTTAATTAATTTACATACCGATGGTCATGTCGAATCCGCGGCTCTTGAGTTCACGATATTCTTGAGTCAAGGCACAAGACTCGCAGCAAAAATGAAGCATGCAATAACCACATCCTCCTCCCTTCAACATGTATTGCTTCCTCAGTTTGGAGCGGTAAAAGCAAGAATACAAGCATGAACAACCGGTGATCAGCAATATTAATGTGTATAATGCCCCACTTGCTCCACATGCTGCACCAACCAACAGTTGTTTCATATTAGAAAAAAACCTCTTTAATTATGCAAACTTAATATCATAAGAAACCCAAATTATAGATCATCTTACAGGTTGATCCCTTGTAAACAATCTCAGCAATCTGGCCAAAAGTGATGCATGGGCACCAAAAAGCTATGCAACCTGAATTTTAAAATTTTATATAATGGTTAGATGATGATCAGAGCATAATAACAATAAATTTCACTAATTTTTAACATGGTTGTACTCAATGAGATTTACTTTATCATCATTTTAATCTACGACATTATTCCAAATAATTGAATTAACTAATAATTTCGAGGGGGAAAAAATGTTTACAAGTTTTCATGTCGGAGAAGCAATCACAGAATCCGACAGACCAAGGAACTTCATCTTGAGGTTGCCCTAATGAGGTCTTCTCATCATAAACATAAGCATTTGGGTTTGATGAGTACTGCATGATTGGAGGAATTTCGCTATAGATGTAGACTACGTTGTGTTGAAAAGCTAAATCAGAAAAAAGTATTAAAGGAAGGAAAAGGCTTCTTTCTGTGGAATTTTGGTTAAGAGCTGTCGTAACAGTTTTGAGATCGTAAGACGTAAAAGAGTTTTAAAATCGAAATGAATTAGGGGAGTCGTTACCAATCTTTGTTAGGGTGTGATTGGACACCTAAAAGTTTATCTTTTTAATAAAATTATAAAAACGAATTTTAAGGTTTATCAAAAAATAAATTTTGATATGCGAAAAAAAAAACCAAGTTGGGTCTGAGAATCGGTTACGTGTGGGGAAGGATTAGCACCCTTACAATACCCATAAATTGGTACCATTTAATTATGCATTATTTTCGGTGTTGGATAAAAATGATTTTAATTTGAAATTTAACACTAATTCCCTTCATTTGAAAAAATATTTTTGTTAGAATTTTTATTTAGAAATATTGAAAAAATCTTTAAGTTAAAGAATTATCTTAAAATTCTCTAACATCTAGATAAAATTTAAAATAACTCTTTTCGCTCAAGATTTAACACGATAATCCTTAAAATGAAATAATAATCTTTATAAAAGATAATTGTTAGTGACTCTCCAACATCTAGGTAGAGTACTAAGAATTATTTCCTTCGAAATGTTATTTTTATTTTATTTTATAATATCACAAATTTTTTTTTAAATGTATTATTCTTTTTTTATTATAAAATATTTTATCATCAAATAGTAAATAAAAATTAAAGAGAGAATAATACAGATAATTATTCATGATAATACGCTAACGTATGTATGCTAATGAATGTCATATAAAATGAAATGCAATTTAAAAGTTGGATTATTAAGTATAATGAGATCACCTCGACTCTCCAACATCTAGGCAGAGCTTAGGTGTGACTGTTTATATTTAAGATCTCAATTTACCATTATTCTTTTTACTTATTAATCTTATTATTAATGTGAGTTAAGAACTCGTGTGAACAACTTAATGAAATAGAGTTTTCTAAATACCTCATCATTTAGGCAGCATTTGGGAATAAACCATTTCATGTGAGATTTTCTCACATATTCTTAAAGTTTTGAAATAGATTTAGGGTAAAAGTTTAGGGTTTAAGTCTAGGGTTTGGGGTTTAATTAAAACGTGAACATCTCTAAAAATCTTCATAATCTAGGTGGATTTTCGGAGTAAATTCAATTTTTTTATAATTTTTGAAAACTAATTAAAAATTTCTTATATATTTCTTTTTATGAAAATTTATTAATAATAATTCTCCAACATCTAGGCGAAATTATTTCTTTAGAAAATTTTTTTTTTATTCCCTCCAACATCTAGGCAGGAAAAATAATAATAATTATTCTATTATTATTATTACTATTTTAGCATTTTTAATGTATATTTTTAATTATTATCTATTATTTTTATTTTTATTATTATTAAAATAATTAAAAAACTTATCATGCATAAATATAACAAATATACTTAAAATAACAAAAATAATAATATATAAAAAATTCAAAAAAAAAAATTTTTTTACCTGAACCGGACCGGTCAACGGTCCGATCAATGATAGTTTGGTTAGATCGAAAAAGGTTCAGTTCAGTGCGTGATTTGGTTGAGCCGATTGAGGAACGGTTTGGACCGGTTCAATCAGTTCACTGACGGTTCGTTTGAACTTGCTGGAGGTTGGCTGAGGTGGGTCGACAGGTCGGTTTACGTGGATCTCGGGTCGACTTCGACCTACCTTGGATCCTCCTACGCTTGAAACGGCATCGTTTTGGCCCTATGCTCAAAACAACGTCGTTTTGCTTTTAATGTTTTCTATAAAAGTCAGGTTTTTTTTAGCTCATTTCACCATTTTCACACAAAAAAAAATTTCAGAGCTTTGGGTTTTCTCTGCCCCCCGCCGAAATCTGATCGTCGGATTGTCGTGCCGGTCGAAGCCTGGGCCACCGCCGGTGGTGGTCGCTGGTGACCGAAAATTCTGAAATCCTCTTGAAAGCTCCTTTCGACGCGATCTTTTCAGATCCGATCTCCTCTTTATCTAAAATGACCCCGATCTACGTAGATCGAGGTTTAAAGTTTTTTGTTCTTTTTTTTTTTTAAACTCAAACTAATAACCTTTCTTTTTTGTTGCAGGTATTTCCTGGGCGTTGGGTTCCTCCCCGACTCGACGACGACTGTGGTTTTTGCTTTTTGATTTTTTTTGTGTTGATTTTCGTAGATCTGTTTGTTTTTCTATTTAGGTATTTTGGAGGTTGTTTGGATTTTTTTTTTCGTCTGAGAGGTTGTTGGTAGGGGTGCCTTTTTTTTGGTATTCTGGTGAAGGGGTATTCGAAAGTTCTAGCTAGATCTAAAAAGAGGGAGATTGAGTGTTTTATAAGGTTAGAAACGATGGTAGCGTGTGCTAATGGAGTGAAGGGACTGCACGAGGGGGTGGTATGATGGCTGGGGTAGTGGCAGGGCGTGGGTGGCCAGTGGTGCCGTGCACGACACCCGCTGGCACCAACCCTTTCCAGTTTGTTTCTTTTTCTGTTTGGATTTTCTGCTTGTTTTTTTTTCTCTTTTTTCTTTTTTTTCTTTCTTTTTTTCCTCTTTTTTATTTTTAAATTAATTAATTTTTTTTAATTATAATTAAACCAATATTATTTTTTTTAAAAAAAATTATTATTATTAAAAAATATAAACCTGGATAAAATTTGATGTCTACAGCTACCCTCTTTGCACATTAGTGAAAATCAGTAATAAGGCAAAGATAAAGACAACGATTTTGTCCAGAAGCAAATCATGAATTTTTCAAAAGTTTTTCTTCCCTTTTTTTTTTAAACTACAAGTTAAATGAAAAAAAAAATGAACGGGATGACACCGCAAGTCGAGATATAAATAAAAATAACCGGGACAACACTGCGAGTTGAGAAGTAAAAAATTGATCGGGATAACACTGTGAATTGAGAAATAAAGAATCAATTGAGACAATACCACGAATCGAAATCATGCTCGAAGGTCTTACAAAAATCATGCCCGAAGGTTTTACAAAATCGACTGAGACAACACCGTAAGTCGAGAATAATGAATCGATCGAGATAACACCGCGAATCGAAATTATGTCCGAAGGTCTTATAGAATCAACTTGGACAACACCGCAAGTCGAGAATAATGAATCAATCGGGATAACACCGCGAATCAAAATTATGCCCGGAGGTCTTAGAAATCATGTCTAAAAGTCTTACAGAATCGACTGGGATAACACCACAAGTCAAAATTAAAAAATCGATCGAGATAACACCACGAATCAAAATCATGCCCGGAGGTCTTACAGAATCGACTAGAACAACATCGCAAGTCGAGAATAATAAATCGATCGGGATAACACCGCAAATCAAAATTATGCTCGAAGGTCTTACAAAATCGACTGGGATAACACCGCAAGTCGAGAATAATAAATCGATCAAGATAACACCGCGAATCAAAATTATACCTGAAGATCTTAGAAATCAAGATCTTTAAATGCTCCTCTCAATCAGAGGCAATAAAACTTTAAAAATTAAAATTTTTTTTTACCCAATCAGAGTTAATGAATGCAATCAATGATACAAATGTCTATCTTAATCAAATGATGCTAATGCAAATGTTGGTAAAAATACAAATCTCAATGCAAATGCAAAAATCCGAATGCTTGATGCAACTATATTTGACAACGACAATATTCTTTTCATGTAAATGCTCCTACAAATACCTTTTCTTAGGATACAGATGCCATGGTGGTGCAAATGTGAATTTTCTTATGGTGCGAATGCAAATATCTTGTGCAAGTGCAAATGCAAGTGATGCAAATGCAAATGTCTTTCTTGTGGTACAGATGTAAGTGATGCAAATGCAAATATCCCTTTCATGATGCACAGATGAGTAATGCAAATTTGAGTATCCTTTTTTTTTTTGTAGGTCAAATGTCTTTCTCATGATACAAGTAATGCAAATGCAAGATCTTTCAAAAAGTTTTGCACCGAGAATTTTTTTATTCTAGATAAAATCTTGAAACTCTAAAACTTCTTTTGGGGCCAAATAAACTAGGCTTAAATTTTATTGAAGGCCAGCTAAATTGGGTTTAAAACCTCATTTGAGGCTAGATAAACTGGGTTTAAAACTTCATTGATGGCCAGATAAATTAGGCTAATACTTCATTTGAGGCTAGATAAACTGGACTTAAATTTTATTGAAGGTCAGATAAACTGGGCTTAAAACTTCATTTGAGGCTAGATAAACTGGGCTTAAATTTTATTGAAGGTCAAATAAACTGAGCTTAACTGGGCTTAGAACTTCATTGATGGCTAGATAAACTGGGCTTAAAACTTCATTTGAGGCTAGATAAACTGAGCTTAAATTTTATTGAATGCCAGATAAACTGAACTTAAATTTTATTGAAGGCTAGCTAAACTAGGCTTAAAACCTCATTTGAGGTCAGATAAACTAGGCTTAAAACTTCATTGATGGCCAGACAAACTGGGCTTAAAACTTTTTTTTTTTAAATTTGGCGATCCCTATCAAAAATGAAAAAGGTGAAGATTTTCTTTCCAAATAGATGTAATAATTCTGTAGATGGCGATGTTTAGTCAAAAGGTTTCAACCCTTGAAGGGAGTGAAAAAAGCATGCAAGCTCACAAATAAAACATAAGCTTTTCTAAAAGCATGAATGCGTTGAAAATAAAACATATTCAATATTTTTTTTAGTCTCTAAATGCGACATTTTGATGTATGTCAAGATCAGTTGTAAGGGCTTGAGATTTTAAAGAGTTATTTAAGAATAATCAACCAATTTCAGACTTCTATAGCTTTGATATTTCAGATCTTTCAAAAAGGTTTGGCTTTACTTTTGTTTAGCACCCATCATACTTAGCATCAGGAGTGACCTTTCAGAATTGGCCCTAGATTACCCTTTTGAGGGTTTTTACCCTAGAGCCACTTTTATTTTTAT